ACAAACCAGCTCTAAGGATTCTATTCTATATACACAAGTTTTGGCATCCTCCAAAATGAAGGTAGACACGGGAAAGTTAAGGCCAAGTTGCACACCTACCTTGAACACATTTTGTGTAGTCTGCTGTACAATGTTTCTAGAAAAAACAGGTTTCACTGGTGAGTGACATTTTCATTTCCTAAAGGAGAACAGGGGTTTGAGCACATATGTATTTATTAATTCTGCAACGAACAAAACTTAACTCTGCAAAATTTGTTTAATTCTCATGAAAATGTCATTGTTTTGGCTCTGACTTCCTGGCAGTTATTTTTTTCCACAGCTCTTGCAACTACAGTTACTAGACAGTTTTACATTATGAAGTAACTGGCATACGCTCTAATTTTGTGCTTTTCCAGAAAAAAAAAAGAGCTTTAAAAAGGAAACACTGAAATGTTTATCGCTTGTGTTTACCAAAAAGTGGAGCTGAATCTTCCAGTTATTTTGCTTCCTCCTCTGCCAAGCATCATCTCGTGAGAGGATGGAGCACTCTGAGCTGCCAGCCATGCAGAAGGAGCTCTGCACGGCTTACAGGTAGTGCAACGATGTAGTGAAGGGACAATTTTCCAAGGAACAATCTAGGCTAACAGTCTTCAAAACTACAACAAGGCTTTCTAAAACATTATGTTTAAGCTCAGTGAAGGCAGCTGTTCACCTCCAGTGCAAAACTATCACCAGATAAAGCAGTACTGCAGAAGAGATCAATGTTCTCTAAGTCACCTGTCTTGCTGGACTAATCTTCTTCATCTAATTTTGATGAAGGTGTCCCCATATATTTGCTTGCTTTAAACAGGATTTGAGAGAATTTTTTAAACATGGATCCCAGCTTAGTTCATAGAGACCAACACACCTTCAGCCTCACAAGGAGTATGGAAAGAAGTAACTAGTTCTCACAGGACTTCTATGTAAACAAGAGCCGTTTAACTTACTTTTCTGCAGCCAAACTACATACATCTAAAACTTTAATGCCCTTGAAATCTCATGGGGCTTAAATAATATCACTGTTAAAAGGTATCTAGCTAGGAAGAAGACGATAAATCAAGCTATGAAGTTCCTTTTTTTTTTTCTTCACTGAAGAGCTTTTACCAGACAAAGGATTCCCAAAAGCTTTCCTCCACTGAGATTTGAAAGCCTGTGAGCCTGGTATCTGTCATTTGTCCAAATTAAAAATGCTAATACATCTAAATCCAGGTAAAGGTGAATCTCTTCTGCTACTACTTTTATTTTGCCTTAATTTTATCACACATATTGTCAGCTTTTTCACAAAGCAGGAAAAGTTGTGTCCCCCTATACGAGAAATATGAAGAAAAATACCCTAGTTTATCTATTTAGCTAGCGAGGTGATGCAGGCAGTGAAAAAAAATCATGAGGAGCACTTTATGGACTCAAGACACATCCTGATAAATACTATTTCTAGACGTAGAGCAGATGGAAAGAAGTTTAAATGGAATATTGTGTTTTTCAGAACGTTCTGAAGATAACAATATTTAAGGCTAGATAGATAGTTTTCTCAAAGAAAAATCTTTCTCAAAGCTTTAGTTAGGAAAGAGCAATTAGCAGTTCTTGGAGTTAATTTTACATTTATAATGGTAATTTTATTTTTCCACTTTTTAGAAGCAAAGTATTCTGCTATTCACAAAGCAGGATAATATACAAAGATGATTTACATACAATATACTCTTAGACTGCACCTTCTTTCCAGCCTGTGAGTCGTTTTGTTACAAAGTGCATGGAGAGTGCCACTACGGCTGTGTATCCTGCTGCTTTGATCAAGCGTGCTCACCCACCTGCTTTCTTGCAACTCCATAGGAGAAATGGGAGTTGTGAAAATGACAACAGTGCACTCCATGTAAGCATAGGATGAGAAACACTTTATTTATAACCCTGTCATATTGAGGCTACCCTAACCAAAAATAAGCTTGAAAGTAATCCTCCGACTTGTTTCTCTGGATTCTCCAGTTGCTTGAAATGCAGTGCATAAACCAGAGGTTTGTACTTCGCTTTTGGAGAGTCATAGCAGCATGGAGAAATCATCAAGGTCAGCTGCACTGTGGACAACTCCACATCTATCTGTGTCTTTTAAATTATACTCTCGTCTCTTCCTTACTGCCAATTATGGTCTGTCACCATTTTTCTCATACAGGTCTGGAGTGGTTGCCAAAGGGCCAGACAGAACCATTATGTTGACTTTGCTAAGACTTCTTCTGACACGTGTAATTATGGCATTTTTTCCCAGCTAGGGAGCACAATATTGAGGCCTGACACAAATGTCAAAGTATGAAAAGGGCATTTAGTGCAAGAACTATGGCACTGACGGCTTTACAGACAACTTAAAAACTTCTGTTCTGATGTCTCAAAGGGACCAAACAACCAGGGATATGATTTCCAAACAGACAGTTCTTTCACATGGCCCTTGAAATACATTATACTCCTGTGTATGTTAAGAAGTGTTTGCTACTAAGAAAACCCTGTAAATAAATCTGCTTGCAAATAATAAAATTCTTAGTCTGTTTTCTCAAGCTGAAGCCAAACATATACACTAACCCTGATGGCCACTTCTTTCTGTTTTACTACCAGCTTGACGTAGAATTTCATGTACCTGCACTGTTGGTGAAACATCATTATGTGAAGTCGGCATTTTTTCGTTCCCAGAAAGTTTCTAAGTCCTGACAGCTTCTTTAGCACAAACAAGGCTCTAAATCAAAAGTAAACCCAATGGTTGGCCTACCTTTGCTGTAACTATACCATTTACTATAAAAAAAAATAAATCTTGCTTTCTCCAGCAGTGAAAACCACTGAAAATAAGCCACAGATGGAATAATCAGAAGGCAAGGCTGAGGGACAGTCACAGGAAAAAATCTAGCCTGTCAGTTCTGATGTTGACACGGATGTTTACAAAGGCTTTCAGGCAGCTTGATAGGGTAGAAACTCATAAACGAAGGGCAAAAGATAGTATTACATTTTCTAGTTGAAAATGTATTTTTATATAGTCTTGGTTTGTGAAAGGTGAAGAATTACATTTTTATCAAGGTGCAGTATGGGCTTAAGGCTAGTAATCTCAGTATTAGACTATAAACTTACATAGCTTGGAGTTCTTCTGATGTGCTCTGACAAATGTGCTCCATCTTGCATTCATGACAAAACTCTTGCACAGATGGATTACAGTAACCACCATGGTACAACATATGCTTATAGCAACTGGACATAGGTGGTATGTAATGCTATTAGCCAGTACTGCAGCAGGTTCCAATGAAACAATAAGAGCCTCAGGTATTTTCTTTTTTTTTTTTTTTTTCCCCACTGAGTTATAAATCAAGTAGGTTGGTTTGAAAATTTCTTCTGAAACAAAAGTTTTGGCAAGTGTAATGCTAAGAACTGGGAAGAGTCACAACCATAAGTCAAAGGCTGTTATTGATTCTACTGCTTTCAAGAAAATAACATGACAAACAATGGGAGTCAATTGCATTTGCTATAAAGACACCTTTCCAGATGGACATTAATGATGTCAGTAACTGCAGGTAAAAATAAAAGTTTATAAAAGTTACTTCATGGTGACGATATCAAGTACAAAATTTCTCATACTTATAGTAGGCAGCCACCAACACAGACTTCCATCGCTTTTGACTGTATGTATAGTCTTGACAAGCATCCACTGAGGGATGAAAGAAAACAGACAAATTTATAACTGCTGAAACTAACGGATTTGAAATAATTTCAAACTGATGTTTGAAGTTTTGTAAAAACCCCTTTGGTCAGCACAGCAGAAGTCCGTTACATTGTTTACAGCATAGAAATTCCTTGCAGTTTCACACAGATTGACATTGCTGGCTGCTCTGCTATAATGTGTGGTTACTCCGCTCTGCTCACAGACTGAGACAAATGTGTGATTCCTCTTTACTGAATACTTTCAAAAAATATGAGGATCTGACTGAAGTCATGGTTGTAGTGATTAATGTAAAGCAACATTATCCAGCTCTAACAAAGTATTACGTTTAGTTGTTATGAAGATGCAAATGAGATTACTGGGAGATAAATGAACAGGATGGCTGAAGTCCAGCAAAGTATTACTAAAGGTCTATATATGACATTTGTGGCATTGTATGAGGAAATATTGCATGAACTTTAGAATAGTCCAAATGTACCATTAAATGAACTCATAATAAGGGCTGATAACTGAACATCGGTGTATGTTTAATGTAAGGATAATTCACCGGTGAACTAAAAAGCTCATAACATATGATAGGTAACTAGAGAAAAATGCATTAGTTGGCGTTTAAGAAAGTGGTTAAATGTAAGAAGCTAAAACTTGAAATGTTTTCGTTGGTGCTGCTTGACAGATCAGCAAGATTGAGTCTGATTATTGATACACAGGGTTATGCTTGCTATCTGCCATGTTGCACTAAGGAAGAAACCCAGGTGAGAAATTTGGTCATGAAGGGAGCTTTTGCATTTGGGTAAACCTGTCTGAATCTGATTCCCAGAAGATTTAGATGAGTTAAGTCAATGGAAATGCTATGGGCAGTGCTGAGCAGCTACACCACTGTGGAGCAATATGGCAAACACTGGAAGAAGTAGACAGTATTACTGTTCTGCGTGCTGTTAACTTCTTTAGAGGACACCAATAATGAAATGTTTATTATCAGTCATTTGTCATGGGTGTGTGTCTCCACAATTCCTATCCTTACATGCCTTTGGGCTAGATCTCCTTTGCATCACTTATGTACATTCTTGTTTTACCTTATCTACAAAGGCATCCAGAATGAAAACAGTGAGTTTGTCCACATTTAAAATACCGCTTTCTTTATTGCAGTGCTAATGGGAAATTCAAGCAAAGGAAGACAAAAAACCCTCCCCATTAAAACCTAAAATCTCGGAAGATTCAGTTTTTGGGTGCGCAGAAGTATTATCCAGCATCAAACTCTTTATTATGAGCCATTATTTTCCTATGTCAAAATTATTTGCCATAAGTGATGGCTCTACTATATTTCATTGGATTTGCTTCAAGTCCTGTATCTGTTACTATGACAGACTTTAACGGAGGCTTTTAGAGGCTACTTCCTGTAATGCAACCCCAAAGTTGCAAAATAAAATCGGGAACACCAAAGAATTCATGTGTAGACTGGCTACAGCAATACCATCCAACACTCAACAAGATGAGGCAGCAACTTTGATCATCGGCTATCTGTTGTCTTCTATGACAATGGTTCTTCTAGGATAGGTGTCAACATCCACAAATATGTAGCGGACCTCAAATCTTCCTCTCTCAGGATTCTGTAAGGAAAACAATTTCAGGCTGTTTTTTCTCTTTTGGGTAGTTTAAATTCAAGATTAAGCTTGTCAGCTACATCAAGCAACTGTACATACCTCTTTGACTTCCACGTGGACTGTTCCTCTCTTCCCTGGTTCAGAGCCCTCAATATAGAACTTCAAACGCATATGTTTCAGTCCATCCTTTACGTATTCAATGTGACTAAAAACGGCAAAACAAAACCAAACCCTAACCAACCCAGCAAGGATACCTATTATATGCTAGTTAAACTTCAAATTTAAACTTCTTATTCGGAGGAGCTGCTTAACTATTTTGTGAGAAAGCGTATTCCAATGCAGTCCTTATGCTACCATGGACTCCTTCTCTACTGCTCTTCCTAAGCTTTACTGAGAGCGTGTAAGGACTAGCGGAGTTAGAACAACTAATTAGTGGTTGAGGATTAACAGATGAGGTGCTTAAACGTCCGCACCCCAGTCCTCCCCTCAAAACTCAACAGCAATCCAATGGCTGAAGATTCTGGAATTTCCTTGCATTTACCCTAAAGTACCTCCAGATTCAGAACCTCCAGATTCAAAACCTGACATCTAGAAAGGAACACCCACATCACCGAGACGGACAGGGTTGGGTTTTTTTAGGCACTTAAACTAAGTTACCAAGCCAAAACACATAATGTTTTGTCAACTTAATTATCAAGGTTGGTTAAAACACATCAAAACAAACAGTTTACTATATGCGTTACTCATTTTGGCAATAATTTTGTTCTACTGAAGCTGCATAACTTTGGAACTGACAGCAGATCTCTAACCTAAATGCTGATATTTAGACTGAAGTTGTATTTCGCTCAAGTATTACATAAATAGAAAGGTCATGTCACTTTCAAGGCATCCATTTCCAGAAATTAATGGTCAAATTAGATTTCTGGTGCCAGTTTGTTTCCTACTGAATACTAACTGCTGCATACTACCAAGCTCTTATTTCCATCAGTCATGCCCAGATACACACTGTGAATTAAACTTCCAATACAGCTTAAGGTGACGTGATGGGTTACAGAGAACAAAGATGAAGAGCCTTAGTGCAGTAAATTCACATTCAAGGTGTTCATACACAAAAAACATCTGCACATTTTGGAGACATTTAAGGTCATCCTTATACTGTAGACATAAACTCTATAATCTCACAAAGTCCTCAGCTTAAAAATTTATTTAAAATACTAGACTTTCAAAATTATAGAAATTAAATAATAGGAAAGCTAATATTCCATTTATTATTTGCAGTTTGTTTTATAGACAGATGCTTAAAACGTTTGTGAATATCCTTCTCATTTAGCAGCTCCACTTTAAACACTTTTTCAGAGTCTGGTGAAAAGATAAACTTCCACTATTAAAAATCATCTTCCTCTGGAAAAAAATTCTCAATTTCATGGTTCGAGTTATGTATCTGGGCTCATGAGTCCCATCCTGTATGAATGCTCCTTGAATAAACTCAAGTCAAAGAACCCAATGAAGACAAAGCCTGTACTGGGTTGTAGTGCAGGGAGGATTTACATTTTGTAAGAATTAGTTCTGTTGTTTCCTCAAAAGGAGAATAATAAATAGCCACACTCATGAAAGGTTTAGGTGAGAGATGTTTTGTTAAATACACAATAGAGATGTGGCCTCAAGCACCAAAAAGCAGTATGAGAAATGGGCAGTCAATACTGCGTATCACCTCAGGACAATATAGTCATGACAATCTGTACAGTCATGTAAATCCTAGCTTTAAACGGGGCAAGCCGGATTCTTTTAATTCTGAAAGTTAGTACCTCTTACTCTTTTGGCCTGACAAAAACTACTGCTTCGAAAGGAGAAAAACTCCTAAAAAATTTCACGCTATTTGAGGGTTTCAGACTGTAAGCAGTCAGATCCTTGCTCCCAAGATGCATGCCTAAGTCTCTGTACTACTCTCTTCAGACTTATCCTATTTTTTGGAGAGATCAGCTCTATGTTTACTGTGCTGACTATTGTTTGTTTTATGGCACTCAGAATTGGCATTTTATATTGTATGTGCTCTGTGCAGTATGTCCCATACAGGAGGTACTGCAAAAAACTGCTTTCATTTTCACTCAGATGTGACAGGGTACGTCACATACAGTTCATTAATCTAGATCTAAGTTGCTACGATGTGACTCAAAATGTTTTTGCTGTGCAAAAACTACTGTCTATATGGGGCAAACACCGAAGGGCACCTGACAAGCTGTCGTCTTCCTCTTCTTGTTGCCTCTCCATAACCTTTAATAGATTCACCAAAAACACCAATTATCTACAAGAGAAAAGAGGTTTGAGTTGTCAGAAGGTTATTGCATTCAAACAGATATTCCAGTATCAGCTCACGCCCCTGCTGTGAACGCATTTTCTTTCAACAAAATGCCCCTTTGCGGGTCTGATGTGTCAAGAATAGAAGAGTTTATATTAAAGAAAGCACTGTAAGGAAAATTCCTGTATTTCAGTGCTTTTCTTTACAGTCACATATTAAATGTTTAAAATAAATCCTACTAGTATCTTCCATTTGTACTGTCCTCTAAGATTATGACACTTTAATCTTCTTAATATGTATTTTATACTTTACTGACATTTTATGCAAAAAGGAAAAAAAAGTATGAAATATTTGCTCAAGTCTCCTCCAAGAGAGTGTTTCACAGTTCAAAATGCAAATGCATGCTCCTTCACATTTTCTAAAAAACCACTATTGTTTATGAAATTCAGCTTCCTTTTTTTTTCAGATCTGTAAAGTCAGACCAAATTAACCTATTTTTAAACTTAAAGTTGGTTAGAAAAGGAGGACGATTTTTACTGTATAAGTACTAGACAGAAGTTTTAATTCTACAAACTTGCTTCAAAGCAGTCTTCGTTTTTATTCTAGTGACAACTTGTCACTTCATTTCTAGGTTATCCTCAGTGGCATCTGTGGCAACCTCGTTTGAAAGCTATTCCATGCATTTCCTGTTTTGCCTGAAGTAGTGTTTTTTAGAATCTCCTTTTAGATTGATTTTTGTTTACATCCAGCTATCTTATGTGACTGCGTGATCACATGACTGTTCTCTGTCTCTTTTCCTGTTAGCTACAGGAATGCTGACTGTCTTTCAAATGAAAAGTTTAAATTCCTGGAAACTTAAGCAGTGCTTTGCAGAATGACAGAACCCTAGTGAAGTGTTACAACAGAATAACTGTGCTGAGGAAAGGCAGCAGGCTAGATCTACAAAATTTAAGTGGGACCAGTTGCCTCCCTGACCTGCGGACCTCCTTAAATACCGCGTTTAGTAGGCACTCAGGTATTTCGGTAAGACTTTCTGTATGGGGACGCATGCTCTGAAGGGGCAGACTCTGTATTTGCATCAGTTGTTGCGCTATGATACGCTCGCCTGGCTTTTAACAGGTTGATTCACTCAGGCTCAGTGCTTGCACTAACTTGTCCTGATATGCTCCAATTTGGAGCAGGCCCACCTCTCGCCAGCTAAAAGCACAGGCATGTCTGCCTGTGTTTGCCTGCTAAGCACCACGTGGGTCTTCTTGTAGCTTTGCTTGTGAGATTCCTTGTGCAAACTTTGACTGCAAAAGAGGTGTAACCACTGAGAAACATAAACTTGTGAATAAGGTTCAAAAACTAACCTCAGGATGAGATCTGCATTTCTCCAAGGCGTCTCCATAGATCTTACTTGGACTAGAAGAAGAGAATAGCTCTTTAAAAATCACATAGAACAAACCACCTGTAACAGAAACAGCAGCAAATGGAATGAAAACTGATCAAAGCAGATGGAATTAATGAAAAGTGTCTTCTGACAAAGAATATAGTTTTTAAAAATAACCTGTAACACCAATTCCAACAAGCACCACAATAAAATAGGTAAAGTCTCTTCCAGCTTCTTTCACTGAAATAGACAGAAAACACAGAAGTTACAATCTTGGGATAGTAAGACTTGCATAGTTTTCTTATATAAACGCTCTTCTATTAGTCTGCAGATCAAGTAACATTTTCGCAGAAGAGAAAATTCCAGTAACAGCTTCCCCAATGCCTCAGCACTAAAAGAAAGAGACCATGGAACATCTCTTATGTCGTACAGGGCATATTTGTATCTCTGTTTTCCTATTAGATGTTTTCAAGACCTAGAATAGCATTTATTGCTACTTTTTGTGTACAAGAGCTATTTTTTTTAAGAACTAATGAGGTATTTAGCAGTATTCAAGTTACCATGTAAACCCACAGCCACCACAATCCTTATGCAGAGAAAGGGAAAAGTAAAAATAAAAAATAAGCTTACAAATTGCACACATTGACTGAAAATAATGGATTTTATGAATTCTCAACCAAATGAGCAACAAAAAGGAGGGTTATTAAGACTAAAATATATATCTTATTTATAGAGATCGTTAACTGCAGTTTATCTGATTCAGTTTTTATATACTAGTTTTGACATAATGTACTGCTAAAAGCATCAGTATACACTCAAAAAAAAAAGTCATGAGATTCTCTGTGACGAAATATTTTTTGAGAACTTGGACAGAGACTACTGATCTTTTCAAGTGACAAGGTGCGCCCTTCAGTGAAGTACAAATTACCGAGGAAACTTTACTAACCATTCTTCCTGCAGTCTTCTAATCAGCTGAGGGTGTTTTTCATAAACCTTTTCAAAGCACTTAGAATTTCTGAGGCTAAATATGTAGTAACCACTTTTCACTGAAGTGAATGAGACCAAAAAAAGTGACAGCCATCCTATAAAGAAACTAGTATCACACTCAGAGCTTTGACAATTTTGCTGGAGGTAAACTTATTTTAACAGCATCGAGACAGGTTGTATGCGACAGGTTTTCCTTTTGAAAAGGAAAATTAGAGGCTACTACATCTTATCCCTGATGGGACTTAAACACTAAATCAAGGAGCCATTTGGAAGGAGACATGTAATTTCTGTTCTGCTTGTGCAATACATGCACCGAAGTGTTATCAACTGCTGCAAACAATATGATGTGAAAAGAAAGGGGCTAGTTCGTTTTCTGAGAATTGTACTTTTTTTTTTTTTTCCCA